TAGACCACATGTGTCAAACTTAAGGTCCGGGACCCAAAACCAGCCCGCCATAAGTATTTATGTGGTACTCTAGAGTCTAGAGGGAGACGTAAATAAAACCTTCAAGGCAATAGTTGTGTTCTTCAGTATTAGTCTATCAATCAAAGCAGTTTTTAATCAGAAGTGATAGTCAATGAATTGCAATATGTGTCTTGATCAGTCTCATTTATCAGACTGAATGTACCTTTTGAAAATAATGAACTTTTCATTTAGGCCACATTTCTGTTTTGAAAAATACTTTTCATTGGTCTGATGCAACATTCTAATTTTAAATGTCATGTTTTCTTTAACTAAGTGGAAAATAGTCACAATTGAAATTAAGGCTTTATAACATTCATCTGCTTAGTTAATCTATATAATGTGTTTCGCTTAGTGATTAAGTTTCTAAAATAAGTGGGCTTTTCAATAATGTTCTACTTTATTCAATGGGTCTGTTTGCTGCCAAATTACATTAATGTGAAAAGGTCTTCAATATTATTTAACTTTGAGAAGTACTCATCAGATCCAGAGACAGTTAGTTATTAATATTTTAAGTTTGTTATTGGTTAGGTTTCTAAATATATTTCCCACAGCTGGCCCTTTGAGGACATTTGTGATCTTGATATACCCTAAAATGAAAATGTGCTTGACACGCGACTCTAGACAGAGGCAACTTTGTCTTCTGTCTACTTCAGGTAAGATACTGACTGCCTCAACAGAACCCCGTGTCAGAAAATATAACTATTAGACTTGATTGTGTAAAAACAGGTAATCTTTGACTACATTACCCAGTGAGACTCAAATGTGCTAATTCAGAGAATCTGTGCTTGTTTGACCTGTTAGGGCCTGTACGACGACTCGGACTGCGACAGTGCAGAACTGGACCATTCATGCTGCGCAGAACTCAATCAGCCTCCAACCAACTGGTGAAACCCAAACATCTGAACCCACAAGATCTGTACATCTGCATCTCTGCATCCTTCTTTTACTCTGTCAGACATTAGGAAACCCACAGAGGCAACCACAGGAGGGATTGAATGCAAAAAGGAAATGAAAACCTTATCAGAAAACCTGTGGATTTAAAACTAGAGGCACTCTGACAGACAGCAAAGCAATCCGTTTTCAGCTCCAGAACAACACATCTCAGAGAGGCCAGTAACAAGACTGTCCGTTCATGTCTTCTGTCATCTGCCATGTTGATTTTTATATTTATTTATTTTATACTATCCAGTGGAAATATGATTAGGAGATCATTTCAGGGTTTTTATAACAAGTTTGACCTGGACTTATTTCTTAAGATCTACTGTGTCATAATCTTTTTCCTTTAAATATTATGCACTTATTTTAATGTGAAACGGCTGATAAAAGAAAAACAGTTTACATTTGAGGTTGTTTGCAATTATTTATTATCATAGTTTTTGACTTCCATTCATCGCCACTGTTAATATAAGATGTTGTAAAATGAACAAATGTTTTTATACTTGAGATTGTATAACTGAAGGTGCTGACATTCCTCAGCAGGTGGCGCTATTATATAAGAACCTCATAAAGCTTTTGCTGGTAGAATGTAACTTTACCTGCTGTTCATGTCTCATCTAAAACATAAAACGTATTGCAGTATTTAAGTATTTTGCAGGGGCAAATGTGTTTTTGGAGAGTTTGAAGGGTTTGTAATATTTAAAAAGCATGTTTGTAAGAAAAAAAGTATGCATATTTAAGATGTTTTGATATTTCAGTCCAGAAGATATCGTTTTTGTGAAAATTAAACCAACCCTTAGATGAACAAATGCTGATAAAGCATGTACCGGTGCACCTCAGTAAATTTAAAAACCATCATCTGAAAATTAATTTTTCTCAGTAATTCAACTCAAGAGGTGAAACTCATGTACTATATAGATTTATCAAACGAGACCTATATTTTTCAGCAATTTATTTTTATTTTGATGACTATAGCTTACAGTGAATGAAAACATTAAACCCCAGCTTCTCAGAAAGTTTAAATAATTGCGGTCATCTTTAGCAATTAACTTTTTCAGTCTCGTTATGGAGGGGTCAGTGACTATCTGCAGGAAGAAAGATGAGTCAGCTATCTTGTACATGATAGCATTAGCTATAACATGTCAATTAAAAGTAATTTTTATTATTCCGCATATAGAATTGGTTTCGTATAGTATTCTAACAAACTGAATTTTGGCCATAATCATCAAAACTAACAAAGTAATGCTTATATCACTATGTAATAAACACACAGGATTACATTTTTTTTTAAATTAAGAAACCTTTTGATGATATACTAATTTATTGAGATGCGCCCTTTTGGCAAATAAATTGAGCGTTACTCATAGTCAGTTGGCAACTTAGACAAGATAGTTGAGGCCTATTACAGACAACAGTTCACGTTTACTGAATGCAATATTGTTCAACAGAAGGAAATATGAACAGATAGAGGCTCAGTTATTTACTGCAAACTTATTAATGCAAAGGGGATACTTGTGGAGAAATTGCTAAGTACATCTTTCTTCCCTGCTCCCCATGTCATAAGACTGGCATGGACTGTTAAGAGAAACCAAGAACACAAAGCTTTACTAACCATTGTTTCAACGCTTGCACAAACGACACACTCGATGCTCGAGCATTGAGCCTTTTTGTTGGTCTATTTGTTTTTTTCAGCCAAGAATCAAGTGATCATAAAACTGGTGCTGATGTCTTTTTACCTTGCACTTCAACTCGAATCCGTTCCACATTTCAATACCTGATCAGATGAGATAAAATATGCAGCTATTTGTCAAATGTTTTGTTTCCTGTTTACATTAGCAGACCTTTTATAATCAATTCATCCCAGTCAAAATTTGAAATCCTCAAGATAAAATGTTGTCAATGAGCCAAACTACTGCCCTCTAGCGGCCTGAAGTAATATAACACTGGGCTGAACTGAAACATTTTCTACTGCATCAATGTAACTGTACAATAAATATATTTAAGAAGCAATTTAAAAATAAAATCCAACTTGCAAAATCTCAACCTTTGTTCTTAAATGCTTCACAAGAGGAAAACAAGAGGCTGGTGGTTTTGAGCATTTCACATCTTTATTTCTGCATTTTTTTTAAACAATGTGGCACCCAGGTCTACAGTCTCAAAGAACGTGCACAATTTATTTTTTTCTGTCCTGCAAATAAAAAATAAAATAAGTTCCAAGTTGAGCAAAGCAAAGAGCAGGAATTTAGTGTTAACTCACAACCCTTTTCTTTGTCTACTTCATACGGGTTCACTCCTCAGCCTCATTTACATTTATTAGACAAAAAATTCAGTGTCCAGAAGTTATTTCCACTTTGGTAGTTAAAAAAAATAATTCTTCCATTTAAAACAAATATTCCAACTTTTTTTCTTTTTCAGTATATATCAATTTATACAAAAGAAAAAATTGAGGATAACCCTCTGATCCTGATCCCTTGAGCCAAGCCCGAAACACATCCCCCACCAACCCCCAACAAAATCCTCCAAAACCAGCAAAAATAATCAACAAATGATCTGAGGACCAGGAGAGGGCGGGGGGAGGGTGAAAATACAACGGAATGACATGGAGGAGAGGAAACATGACATGCTTTGTAATACACATCTGAATAAATTAATCTGAGTGTTAGAACATTTGTCTTCATAACCAAATATATTCTGATAGTGCAGCTACAGCTATGTTTTCTCGTCAGGTGATATTAAGTGTTACAAGCACTTCGGATGCACTTCAGTTGAAGAAGGTGACACAGGGTGAGGATGCTGTGTATTCTTAAAGCAAGTACATGAAAAACCCAACAGGTAGGAATAAAAAGAAGAAAAAGAATCATGGATATAGACAGAATAAAACAGTCACTATTCTTACTTTTGATACATTTTATTTTTCCTCTTTTCCTGTTCAAAGAAAAAAATAAATGAGTGTACAGAACTAATTCTATATGCCCTAGATGAGAGTTTTCCAACTCTACTTTCTGTCATGGCAAAAAAAAAAAAAAAAAAAAAAAATTTAAGGGAAGGGAAAAAAACAAACCAAAAACATTAAAATCTGTAACTCGACTCAAAAACGGAATTAAAAACCTAATTTTCTGCTTCTTTTCTTCTTTTTTTTTTCCTTTTACTAAAACCAAACCCAAACAAAGAAAATAAATAAGGAACTCAGCAGATCAAATCAGTTGACATGATTTCAAATGAGAAAAAGAGGATGTACATTATATAAACTCTGAAGTTGTATAGTTGCATTGCCTGAATTTTTACGGTAGCCAATGATATAAAAGTGTGATTTAGTGCAGATGCTGTGTCTTATCAGTTGGCTGCCAGTCCCGTGGCCTCAGAGGAAAGCCTGGAGAAAACAGATACACACCCACAGAGCAGGGGAGGAGAGAGAGGAAGGCATGCAATCAGACAGAACAGAGAAAACATCAATATTTACTCTACATTATTACATCATTACCATAAAAACCTCTGGAAGGAGGTCATCTGGCTTTATACACCAGGAAATGTGCTCTTACAGAAACCCATTACATATCTAGCCTGGGGGGGAGGTTGTGTTACAAATAAAGATACATCTTAAGTCAGCAGCTGATCAAAATCTGAATGAACTAGCAAAGGGATTAAATAATCAAAATCTTAGTAAAGGGGACTCGCGCTACTTATGGTTACAGATAAAAATGAAGCTGCACAGGCTTAGAGGAAACTGCAAAACAGGAGCAAACAGCCTAGCTCTTCTCAAAGCTACATGACAACTATTTCTGGTTTTTGCCCCCTTTTTTTTTGTTATTTAATTAGTTCACAGAATTATAAAAAAATTACAGGTCGACTCATAATTATTCTGATTTCGATTTTGTGTTGTTTTAATTTAATCAGAAAGATTTTCTGGCAAGATGAAATGACACCAACATTTCTCAAAAATAAAATCTTGCTCAAGAGTTTTTTTTTTTTTAAATGACATGTTGAAAATAATAAACATCTTCCTCAATAATCAACTGAAAAGCCTCAATTCTCTAATCAGTTATGGTAACCTAACCTTTTCTATAATTAGTGACCAACTTTTATGTGCCCAAATATGGGCCTATTTAATGCTGATCTGATTAAATTTGACTCTTTTCATTCAGAGTTCATTTCACCCACACTGCTATGTTTCCAGACAACTTTTCACAGATGATGTAAATATCATGAGGATCAATCAAAAATGCTCAAGTGGGACCTTTGACATGATTCCGCTCTTGATTTGCACCTGTTTTCAAGTTTACTAGCTAAACCTATGAGCTAAATTCTGAAGCTCCCAGAAATTTATTTTCATCTTCTTGAGATCAGTCGAAATTACCTCCACAAATCTGGTGCCTTATTATTAATCATCTCTTATTGGTAAGCTAAAGCAGATGGGTCGTTTTAGATTTTTTAATAACCAACAAAACCCAAAGCATGAATAAGTGGCTTTGATACCTGAGGGAAGATTTAATTTGATTTAAAATTACTCGGTTTTGCTTTGTTTTTTTTTTGTTTTTTTGTTTTTCTTAAATCAGCAAACGAATCACGACGAGACAACCCTTTTTGTAAACTAACAACAGTCACGTAAAAATAACTGGAGAGAAAACTAATTCCACAGGTACAACGTGACATCTTAAAGGAGCCGCTACCTGAGCAGAGCTTACACAACGAGAGAGAGAGAGAGAGAGAGAGAGAGAGAGAGACAGAGAGAGACAGAGACAGAGAGAGAGAGAGAGAGATTCGGTTAAACTACTCCCTGTCCATGCTAAATTCAAAGTCCTTGAAAAATATAATGCACTCGACATGTCACATTTTAAAGAGACAGGTAGAGTCAAGCTACAGATATTTTATAAATATGGCGTTAACCACCTCTCTGGCTTGGTAACAGGGGGCTGCTTTGTGCTGTAAGCGAGGCATGGCGCAGCCAGATACAAAAGCAAGTGCAAGTACAGACAACAAAGAGCACTGTCAGCACTTCAGGAGGAGATGACTTATGTTTCCTTCATTAGTAAGGGGAGAGCCTTCGCCTTTTGGACTTGGAGCCCAGCTCAGGGGCCACTTTGGGCTCAGTGGGAATTGGGTGTGGGGGGTTACTGGCCCCACTGACAACATGGAGGGCCAGGAGAGGCAGGGGCTTGAGACTGAGGAGACTCGACACACAGGCGGGTGAGCTGGGGAGCAGGGAGTCGGTGGAGGAGCAAGAGGAGGAGGAGGAGGAAGGAGGTGGCCCTGGAGCCAACAAGGACAGAGGGATGGGGGCTGTAGGGGGCGCCACACAGGAGGAAGAGGAAGAAGAGGAGGAGGAAGAGGAGAAGGAGGAGGTAGCGGCAGAGGAGGTGGTGGTGGTAGTAGTAGTAGTAGTAGTAGTAGAGGTGGAAGGAGGGCACAAGCTGGTCTGTTCAGGGTTCAAGGAGGAGGAGGAAGAGGAGGAGGGAGGAGGTTTAGAGGACTCTACACTGTAGAAAGAGAGACAAGGAGAGAGGGACAACACAGTCGGGATGGGTCACAGGGCAGGCTGGTGAGCAATGGGTGAGGGGGAGGAGGAGGGGGGGATGGGGTCGGGTGTGGGGATAAAAGTCACTCAGGGATGCGACCAAAACAGCAGATGTGTTATTAGTAATTAATGAGTTAAACTAGGAGTGGAACCACTCATCATAACTGTAGTGGTGGATCAATGTGGGAGTCAAGGACGGAGGGAGGGGGGGATTATTAATAAATACCAAGAAAAAGAAAACACCATCAGCTAAATTATAGAAAACTGAACAGAGCTACTGAAGTTTAGTAGGTCAGAAGATTCTTGAATTGTTTTTTTGTTTTGATCCAACACAACAGCATGACCACATTTAAACCTGTGCCTTCTATTCACATGTTAAATTAAGTATCTGCAATGAGTGACTGTTTAACCACTATGGGGACGTCGTAAATATGTTCGGATTATCTCACCTTGCATTGATGAGGTACTCCGCCAGACTGATGCTGGCGGGCGAGCCTGTGATGGTAACCTGCCGGTCAGTCGATCCATCCACTGGATTTGCGATCTTGATCTGGGCTCCAGACATTTGCCTGATCTCATTGATTTTGGCTCCCTGGCGGCCAATGATGCATCCGATCAGCTGGTGGAGAGAGGAGCGAATGAGGGGGGAGAAAAAAGAATAAAGACACAAATGGACGGCAGTTTACAATAACACTTCTCAAGCATGACCTCGTAATGACAGAAAATTGTTGAAAAATCTTTCCATCAGTGATTGAAGCATTAGAGGTTTTCTAGTTCTACAAAATGTCTGCTAGTAAACAAAGAACTCATCGCGCTACGGTGAGAAAATATGTTTTGAAAGCTGTCCCAGTCCCACAGTTGGACCGTTTTTATGCACATCCGGTCAGGAGAGCTGCAGAGATTTCAGCTCCTGGTTTATGGCACCATTTTTTATTATTATTATTATTTTTTTTTTTTCAAAACAGGGTGCATGTAGAATCTAAATACTCTCCAACGAGCAACATTATAAAAACTTTTAAAGGCTTACAAAAACCAATTTGTTTCATATCTGTGTGTTGACATTGAGCAAAACCTAAAAAAATTATTTTACTTCAGTCCTTTTCATTCACATTTGATTGTGTAGATAAAGTGAATGTCTAAATTTAAATATCGCAATAAAAAAAGACTATAAATAAACATCATAAATGTTAAAGTGCCTATTTTTATTCAGTTCAAGTTCAGTCTCATTCCAATTTTTATTTTATTTTCAACGTGCACAAACAAGGACAGCTTTATTTTACGACTTGGCAGGTTAAAATTCATATTTTAAAATAAAAAATGTATTTGAATAAAAATATTGAAAGGTTTATGAAAAAAAAATCACAAACCTTAAGATATTCGTTTTGGAAGTAAAGGTATTTAGATTAGATTATATGGTGCGTATATTTCAATCAATCTCCATGCACATAAAAATGTACAATTGTTGAACAGAAATCAGATCAAACTAATCAAATTTTATTACATATATTTCAATTAGAACCAAATTTAACTCAAAATAGATCATATTCTCAGACACTGCAAACATATATATTATTTTTTTTACTTTGGTGATTTAATGTAATCCCTTCATAAGAATGATGCTCCCAAAAATCTTTAGTAGAAATCTCGCTTATTACTAAACTGACAAGAGTGTGTAAAAGTAATTGAATGTCTGACTTACATCATTTGGAATGGTCATCTCATGTGAACTAGTCTGAGCAGAAGCATCTATCCCTGACAAGAAAAATACGTCAGTAACTCAAACAAGCAACAACATCCTCACTTTTTAAGGCCACACAGCGACATGAAGAAACTTCAAATACAGTTTGAGTTGAAATTCTGACAAAGTCTTTTTTTCTTTTTCCCGCAATTAATATTTGACAAAAACTGGCAATATACCCTCAAAAAAAAAAAAAAACTCTGTGCAGCTGTGGATCTTCATTGGTATAAACCTAGATGCATAAAGAAAGTAATATTCTGGCATCTTTGTTTGCGATTTATATATTTCAGACAATAAGATGCAACAAAGTCTGGAAGAACAAAGTTTTCCATACCTGCCTAAACTTGAGCAATACTTGAACCGCATAGCATACTTTATCAGAGCCTTGTTTATTTCTTATTATAGACATTGTTAATTTTACGAGGTCTGAGTAATCTTTTTATTCTAAACTGCAGCAAGAAAGTGTCATTTTTATATAAAATATATGGGTACTAGAGCACACCAAATGTTTTTTTTTTTTTTTTTTTTGTAAATCCTGCATTGTTTTATAGTGTACAGCAAAGCCCTCCCTACTTCAGGGAATGTGATAGTGACTGTCAACGTGGTGTGGCAATGCGAAACATTCGAGTCGAATCAGCTGGAATGGCGGCGTGAAAGCTCACGGGCCTTGCTGTGCTGCATACCAGTGAATCCCTGGTTGCCTGGTGCAATAGGGAAAGGGCTCTGCTGCATAGCCAGCTGGTGAAGCTTGGTGAGCTGTGGAGAAATAGCAGCAGAGGAAGACTGTGAGAGTGAGAGGAGGAGGCGGGGAGAGAAGAAACAGAGGAAATGGGAAAACACAGGAAGAGAGGAAAAAAAAACAAAAAAACAGAGCACATAAAAATCACAATCAGTACAGACGGCTACACAAAGAAGCGCCAACAAAGGAAAACTTAACACACGAGACTTCATTCTATGATCTTTACATCTGATTCTCTCATAAAGCTCTCTCTATTTGTCTAACTTAAGTCTATATGGGAAATCAAATCTGATTTCCTCTCTAGTCAGGCTCCACCTCTTGGTAAACTTTTCCTGCCATCTTCGGGGTCAAAACAAAGCTACAATACACACTCCCTATACAGAGGGGATTTCCTAAGCAGAACAACAGACTGCTTCAACTTAGCTTCAGGAGAGCTGAGAAGAAACTTTTATGCTACATCTAAAAACACATCAGGTCTAATAATCAATAACCATTAGATCGTGATAGAAAACATTTAAGCAAACAACTTTTTGGCCTAAGAAGCATTTACGACAATCATCTACATGTTAAAAGATCCTGACCCAACGTATCTTTTTCACTTAAAAAAAAAAAAAAAAAAAAAAAAAAAAACATTGATTGGATGAAGCAAAAAGCGACCAGAGGACAAAGTGACAAAGGAAAAGACTAAAACAGTGTGTTTATTCAGGACAGACCAATAAATGCGACAATACTGCACAACGAGGAAGAACAGGGAGGAGTGAGCAGCAGGGACAGATTATTATTCATGGAACAGTGGAGAGTCTGGACAAACAAACAACAAATGTCAATTAAATTCGCTTCTGACTGCAAAAAACTGAACAGATAGTGAGAAAAGTTACGACTCTCTTCTAAATGGTTGATATAAAAAGAACTGATGACTGCAGATTAAATGAAGGGTAAACAAGGTAACTAACTATAGTTATATGTGGAAAACACTGCATGGCTGGGTGGGTGATTATTCATTTTGGGTCGGGGCTGTAATTATGAGTGGGAGTGGAAGTGGTGGTGGGGAGGATCAAGGGGGGAAAAAAAAAAAAAAGTCCTACTGCACTTACATCTGGCTGTGGGATCGCGTGCTGTCCTTGTACAGCATAGGCCTGAAACATATGGAAACAAAGCTTTCATAGGCCTCACATCTGGTTTTATTGGGTCACTTACTTCTCCAGGTACGTCACCATTAGATGACAACCAGACGCCTCCTGCATATCAAAAGTTAACCTGATGATGCTCAACAAATATTAACATGCACCTCTTGTCCAAAGTCTCCACATTTCTGAGAGCAATGAAGTATTTTTGTGACATTTCATTAGAATTAGAGGAAAAATCCAAACGGAAAATTATTACAAAGAATACGACACAGTACTTGGTTAAGTTTAAAGACTTTGTAGTGTTAAGAGAACAAGCACCAGAAAGCGTTTAAGTTCAAGTCAGGATGAAAGGGAAATGACAAACTAAAAGTCTTTGACAAAAGGAAAACATTAAAGGAAACCAAGATTTTAGAGCTTTACTTGTTCTCCAAGTTTTTAGTGACTCTTGATGCAGCTGTTTTCTCAAGGTAAACACAAAGTGAAGCATCTATTTAAGATGAACATTATGTTAGCGCTTGTAAATTCACAAATCAAAGTTAAGCTTGTTAAATCATCAAACATAAGAATTATATGTTTTTAAAATGGTTAGCTAGGAACTCTAAACCTCCTCAAGTCTTTTCAGTGGTTGATATAAGAGGAAATCAAACCCTCCATAGATAAACCTTGTGTCCGTTAGCGAAGCTGTTTATACCTGTCCGCCTGCAAAGATGACAGGTGATCCTGAAGGCTTGGGTCGGTAGGGGATGGTGACCCCCTTAGGGGGAGACTGCACAGGGGAAAGAAGGTGGGTTTTATTACAATATCTACTACATCATGTTAAAACCATTAACTTTGAAAAGTAAAACCTTTTCTTAATATTCAGTCTTTTAAGTCAGAAGGCAAAGAAAGTGATTGCAGTTCCCCGGCTTTAATGCATCACTGCAACTCCAACAAAACTACAGACAGTCACAAGGTGGAAATTAAAGTTAATGCTACCGATCATTTATTAAATTAGCAGCTGTTTTTAAATCTTACTTAGGAAAATACAAGGTGCATATAAGCCTGTTGCAGTATGCAATTAACTGCATGTTGAATTAAGATGTGCTCAATAATTGCCATTGTGACGATTAATGTTTTTGGAAGGTTTATTTTCTTTACGGCGACTGACAGAGACAGAGATTTATTGTTTCAGGTTGTTGTGTTTTATTTTGGCAATTTAAAATATTTTCCAGTTCTAGTTGTTAAGTGTTCTTTACAAAATGAAAGTTTATTGGGAGACCTTGCATTATTATGCACACACTAAAACAACCAGCCTATTCTTCTCTCTGTATTACTCTATAAAGAGCAGAATTGACAGATTATTTTGATAGGAGTGCAAATAATTTTCACCTTTCTCTTTTAAAAAAAAAAAGGAAATAAATTATGTTTTGCATTATCGTTTTAAATTTTTGCTCAAATACTGTGAAACTGGGGTATTTTTCTGAACTTTATCTCACATTGAGAATCTCCTACTGGCTCCAGCCGACATAGCAACATCTGCACCTGTCCGCTCACCTCAAGCATGACCACGCAGATCTGCTTAACACACTCAATTATTGACTGCGGAGTTCCAGCAATGGTGATGGCACGCTCTGTGGAGTTGGGAAGCATGTCTCCCGCCACTTGTACCTGAGCACCGGTTGACTTGAACGCACAAGAGGGGGACAATTAAACAAAACCTCATTAATGTTGAGTTATTAAAAGTGTAACATGTAAAGGTGAACAGATTTTAGGGCATACCTCTCGAATTTCTTTGATCTTGCAGCCACCTTTCCCAATGAGCGAGCCACACTGGCTGGCAGGCACTACGATGCGTAGAGTCACTGGAGGCTTGCTGGTGGCTGTGCTGTTCGTCATAGAGCTGCTGATATCCTGGTATGAAATAAAGAAAAGATAAATTAATACAGCTGGAAAACGGGGTGCTCTCTGTTGATCTATAGAAGAAAAACAAAAAACTCGAAGCAAACCTCTTCCAACTTCTCTATGATCATAGAGAACGCTTTAAAGATGGCCGTCGTCGGACCTGCCAAAGTGATGATCCGTTCAGGACAATTGCCTTCAGAGATGTTAATACGAGCTCCACTCTGAACAGAAGAGAAGCAAAAAAAAAAAAATGTACAAAAGTATTCAGTAACTGTGAAAAGATCTGCCAATAATATGACTCATTGTAGTAATTAAAGAAACACAGTGAGCTTGAAAGGACTAACCTCTTCTCTCATCTTCTTCACAGATTCACCCTTCTGTTTGCAGAGAATCAAAGATATGTTTAATGTTTATAAAAGAAAAAGAAAACAACATTAAAAGAACATAACTGGAAAAGTCTTACCTTTCCAATTATACTTCCAACCTCCTGAAATTGGAAAAAAAAAATAATATATAAAAAAATAATATATATATTGTAAGACATATTTTTCTTAATTCATCAAAATGAAAAATTATGTTTCTATAAATTAGCCTATTGAAGAATTGGAGCTTGATGTTAAACTCTAAATGTAAATGTAGCAATCCGGGGTACACTGAATCATACGCAACAGGGGATGTTGCAATAAATGTGTTAATACTGAATGAACCAGCATTAGCTAACCTATTAGTATCTCTTGCAGAGTGATTTAATATCTAAAACCAGCTCAACATAAACTGGCAGAATTATTTACCATTATTTACCAGCTCAATATAAACATATTGGTGAGAATTTCTCTTAGTAGTAAATATTTTTTCTAGACCTCAGGAAATGATGTCTACAAGGGGGTAGGGTTTGACAAAAATACAGACGAAAAACATCTTTCTTTTTATGTAACATAATTTAGTACAGTTTGACCGTGGTAATTTTTATTTTTTATATCTCACCAGTTTGGTGAATCTGCAGTTAAAAATACCAAGAATGTGCAGCTGTCTTTAAAACCGCCATACGAGGCTACAGCAGAACTCACACCATGGAGCGTGTGCGGCTATGCTGTGAAAAGGGCCAGATGGCCTGGGGACAAATGCCAGGCAATGCCTCAAGCTGCAAATTTTTAAGCACCAAGGGATGGTGCTAAAATAAATAAAATAAAAAAACAGAAAAGCGAAAAGAAAAAAAAATCCATGGATAAAATGTGTATTACTAAGTCCAACTTCTGTACATCCAATCAGAATCCATTAATTAAAATACCAGGTAGATTTTGATTAGAGATGCACCATTAAGGCTTTCAATGTTTTTTTTTCCAATTTAGCACAAAAATAAAAAGAAAAGATGCTTATAGATGGGATAAGTAGTTTTAAATGCCCCTAAACTCTATTAGATTTTTAATAATCTATTTTAAAAAATACATCAAAGTCTATAAGTATAGACCATTTTAGTCTATCTCTACAGAGTAGGAGGGAGTTATAAGTTTGTACATTTAATGAAAAATACAAACATTTTCTATATGTTAATGAGCAGATAAAGTTGATAAAAGGAAACATTCAGGCTCTGATTGGTGCATCTCAAAATTGTTAATAAATACAGTATTTCAATGTTCAGATGAAAGCTGACAGCTCACAATATACTACACATCACAGCCTTGAACCTTAAACAACAAAGAAAATGAAAAAGTGAGGAGACATTCGCCCAAAAATAAGAAAATGCTCAACAAAAACAAACATGCTTCCTTAGCAAGCCTCGCCAATCCGTGCGGAGAAACTTAAGCTTTTTATTGTTGAATAATAAACTGATGAATGTTAAAGTGAGAGAGATGTATGGACCATAAATGAAATATGGAAGGAGAAGTGCTTAGGGGAAAAATAGTATCTATCTTTATGTTGCTTTAAGACGTGTGAAGTTCATAAACTCCAATATTTCAATTTTGGCTTCTTTTATGCGGTCATGCCCACTTTCAAATATGCAACATTTAATCACAATAGTAATATATATTATGTTGCTTGTTTTACTTAATGGCAGTAAGCCAGTTGTCTATATACTTTGAGTAGCATTCCATTGAGTGACTTGAGAGTGTGAGCCTCAGGTAAAACTGGCACATGGCGCTGCTTCAACACTGCGTACGCCCCTGCAACACGAGGGGCGTACGCAATTCGTACGATTGGGTTTTGGGATCTTGTTGTGGGGTGTTAATCGCTTCTCGTTGCCCCCTGTATACTACACGAAGCACGACAAACGATTAAACCGAGACTCGGCCCGACTGTAAAAGTTGTCGCGCAACTTGAAAAAAAGAAAACCACAAATACTGCCTTACATAGGAGATCAAACTCGGTCTCTCCATTTTCTCTTGAGATCAAGGATTCCATTACCATTTACTTTCACTACTCCCCTTCACCTACATATCCTGTTGAACATCAATTTCATTAATAAAGCATCATGCTGTATCAGAGTGTCCACATGAGCTGCTCACCTTGCCGTGCATGAGCAGCCTTATAGTAAGGGTGACATTGAGTCCGCCTTCAATTACTCCGGAGTCCATAACTGCAACTATAGTGGTCCGTACAGAAACTGAGAGTCTTTGGTCACAGAGATGGATCTAAATAGCATAAATATAGAAAAACATCATTATGCATAACAATGAAAGAGGAAATGTATGCTATAAACAGAGCAGTGTTACAGCAGTTTTGTATCATGCTTCAAATTTTATTAAAAGTTCATAATTTTATTGGTATTTCAAGGCATGGGAGAGTATTTAATAAATTCAGTAAATATTTTGTTAAGAAAAATAAATCGGAAAATATCCACAGTGCCTTAAAATTCATATTACAGACTAAATGACAAACTTACGTGATTCATCTTTAATTTTAAAATCTATAGATATACCACACAATTAAGTAATTGGTTTACAAGTCGCTAATTAAAATGTTAATTATCAAGCACACTGATGGATACCACGAAAGAAAATCCTAAGCTTTAAGGTTTTTCTGCAGTTTTATTGCAGGCTTTCAAAATGTGGATGAGTGCTGATCCATCCACATCACCAGCTAGGTGGAAGGTCTTCAATAGTAAATCTATTATCTCCAGGTCAAAAAATAACATATGGTAACATGCTAACTACGTTCGCTAGCCTTGAAACAAGTTTAGTAACAAACTGGTTGCCGTGTTTCTTCTAAAGGCTCATCTGGACGACTGTGTTTTATTTGCAACACACATAAATTAATTGGATTTAAAATAAGCGCTAAACGCTTATTTTGAAGATTTAAGGAGAAATGTTAAATTATTAAGAAAGATGAAAGTCTTAGCCCTCTGTAGCCGTGCTAGGAAAATGAATGGAGCATGCATGTGCTTGTTAGCATATTTAGCTAGTTAGCTTACTTCGTCAGCATTACGAACAGATTCTAACTCAAATCAAGGTGAATTGAATTGCATTGTTGTCATCTCTTAAACAAACGTGCTTGGTAAACTATGACAATTAGCAACTAAAAGTTCCACAAAGGGACTCTCTGTTGTAGTTCTTTAAAATAAGCTAGGCTAGGCTAAGCTAGCCTCGTCACTCCGAGCGCAGATTGCGTGCTCATAGTCCTCACGCGGCCTATTAGCACGCTGCACAGGCGCGATTTGTTTCCGCTACTTCTGACCATAACAAATATGTCATAAAATAAGAAACATCACAAAAAACTCACCTGCTTAGAGCGCTGCCGACTGATCGGGGGGAGGGTTGGGGTTGTAAGGGTAGAAGGGGAGAGGTTCGGGAGGGTAAAAACCCGGGGGAGAGTTTAGAAAGGACTCGGGGAAGAGGGAAGAGTGATGCGAGATCGAGCTCCACTCCTTTACACAAAGACAACAAAACTGTAACCTTTGAACTACCACCCTTCACCCATCACAAACCCTTACCACCGCCAGCCAGGAGTTTGAACTTAAGATGCTCCAGAAAAATATCACTTCGTCCACATTTGATGCTATCGTACGGTAAATAATAATTACATTCAAAAATAATTATATTTTTTGTTGTTTTTTAAAATGATACATAAACGTTTTGTGATTAAAAGTAGGTTACAACCAGCTAAATAAAATTCAAATTGATCGTCAGAAATGACAAATTACAAAAAATGGCAATATCTTAGGCAAGGTTTGATAAATAGTGTTCAAAATAAGATATTTAAAATTTAAAGACCAATGATGCTTAAAACAGCATTGCTTTGCTTTAAAAAAATACATTTTAAAAAATGCATAACAAAAAATACCCATAGAACATTTTAAAATTTTGTCAAGGTCCAACCACAAAGTAGAAGGATTTGTTTTAAACTTTATTTTATAAATTTTATGTGATAGACCAGTACAATACAGAGGTTTATATGAGCACATTAGTGAATTAACAGCTTTTTAAAGACTAAGAAATACACCAGAGAGGGCACAGATAAACTCCTGGATGTGTTTAAAACTTGCAATCAATTATCTGAGTAGGGAAGAACATAGCTGACCCAACCGTAAATCTTAAATGATATGATTGTTCACATAATCCGACAGACTTGGGAAGGATGAATCAATAAGAGAAGCAGCCATGACGACTTTGGAGGAGTTGTAGAGATCCTCAGCCTTGGTGGTAGAATATTATTTGTGTGATTCACTTTTTGATCTACATGCAAAACGGTGTGGTGTGTGGGGAGGAAAACAAACACTGCATGACATCATGCATAACAATATGGAGGTAGTGGCACGATGGGGTAAGGAACCTTTTCTTCTGCAAACAAAGAGAAGTTGGCCAGAGTGAATATGAAGATGGATGCAGTTAAATATAGATCGGTTTAAAAAGGCATTGACTTCAGGAGCTGTACAAGAATGCCACAATTTGTAATTTTAGTTTTTATTGTATTGATTTATTTACACAAAATTACAACAAAACAATCAGCAGTTTGTGATTGTAACAAGACAAAATGTGAATCTGTTATGGGTATGACTGTACATCCAATTATAGAGCAACATTTTTAAATATTTTAATAAGTTTTGAAAGAAATTAGGATAGAAATCCAAGAAAAAAAAAACTAGACCTTGTTAATACTCAACATTAACAAGGTGTAGTTTGTAGGGTGCAGAGTAGGGTGGTACTCTGCACCCTACCAGTTATCTAGTACAGTAATTGTAATACAAAACTATTAAATACATTTACAAATTCAAGTAAAAGACAACTTCATATCTGATGACTAATGAAGGTGTAAATTTTTGCATTTACACTAATGAAACAAAAAACAAAACAAAAAAAGCAGTCGCAAACAAATCCATACGCCAAAATCCTTTACTTCAACGGTACACACCGACTGAAATTTAAATTTAGGCCCTGAAGAAATAGCTTGTGTGACTTCAAATGTCAGAAATGCACTGTAACTGATATTACAACATAATGTACTTATGCAGTCATTTTAGTTGGATTATTGGATGATCCGCTCTCTGAAAGCCTCAATCTGAATCGCTGCTGCTGCTGCTGGACCACTGTGAAGAAAACATATAAATAAATATATTACACACAAAACAACTTATGTTTTATTTGATAGAGGAAAAACTTCCAGTGGAAATGAAACTGTTGACATTGAACTTCTATTATTTAGATAGGGGTATAAATAGAGCTAAAAGGCCAAAGGGAGGTGAAACTAGCCTCATGTTTTATTCTGTCAGGATACCGTTTACATTTATTCAGCAACCTAAGCTTGTTGTTTCATGAATCAGAATTCCTTTTAATGTCTAAAGCACAACAAACTTTTAAAAAAAGTTGCTGACTGAGTTTCTATTGCTTTTAGATAAAGATAATTGCTTCAGGACTAACCTATACCCTTGTATTATTTCAGGTGCCAGAATAATCATTTTAATTAATATTCATGCTTTTTAACCAAGCCTCACCTTCCCATGCTTGTAGTGACCATGCATGTGGTATTTGTGAGCCTTCTTCATCTTTTTCCTCATTTTCTTATTAGCTTTGTGAGAAAGTAAGCCCATTCCCACTGCCATTCCTCCAGCTAATATTCCAGCCGTAGGGTTAAACCCATCATGATGATGATGATGATGATGGCCTTTGTGTGGGCCATGACCGAAACCTTTTGGGTAGTGCAGGAGGTGACCCAGATGAACACCTTTAGGATGGCAAGCATGTCCTGCAGGATGCATGGGATATGCATGAGGTCCAGGAGGTCCATAGGGCATAACCCCTGGAGGTCCATGGGGCATCGGTCCTGGAGGCCCATAGTGGATCATGGCCGGGCTCACAGGAGCGGAGTAGTGGCTTGGAGGATACTGCGCTGTAGGGTATCCAGGGTAAGCAGGAGGTGGAGCCTGGGGGTAGACCCCAGGTCCAGGCGCTGGTAAATATGGAGCACTGTATCCAGGAGGGAATGCAGGATTTTGTTGACCCATTGGAGGGGGAGGAGCTGATGCACAAAAGAAGTACAATCACATACCTTCTACTTCATAAAAGTTAAAATGTGACAGAAAGCTTTGTATGCTTACCTGGATTTGGCCACATGACTTGTGTTTTAGCTTGATCAGCAGATAAGCAGAAGTCTCAGAAATAGTCCTAAAAATAAGGAACATTTATGGGTTAGATCATTTACAAACATGCAGTAAAAAAAAACAGATTGTAAAAAGTATATTTCAAACTCTGTCTCATTTTATGTTGTATATATCCAGTGGTTCAACTACCTTAACAAAGTGTACCCTAATTAAAAATAATGGCTCTATAAAAATTATTTGTTCAACAAGCATTTTGTAACCAAAAAGACAGGAATAAATCCAGCTTTGAGAAGATTATGAAGTCGGAGCCTGTACAAAACTTTGAGGGAACGTTGCAAAGCACATACTGCTGCTTCAGGAGTCACCAGACACAGAAGTAGTGAGAACATGGGCAACAACCAAGTTCTTGTGCTTAAACTATTCCTGACCCAAAGTTATGCTACATTGATGTAGTAATTCAAACAAAAGGATACCATAACATATACTGTAATCATATACTGTACTCCACTGCCCTTATGTGAATTATTCAGACTTTCTAAGAAAGAGTATAGAGAAGTTAATGATACAGTAAAGGACTTTTTGAACTGAATTAAGTAAAATAACTTGTGCCCTGTGATGGACTTAATGGGTAGAAATCAACTTGTCAATGAGATTCTGATACTGAGATGTTCCGATCAGAAAGGATTGTACTTTTCCACATGTTTGAATGCTTTTTTTATCTCCGTGTTCTGTTCAACACATATGGACTAAATGATAAAAATGCTTTTCCGAAAGGTTTAATGATGAATGACAGTAACACAGTATCCTTTAAAAGGAATGTACGAACTCACTAAAATAAGCTTTACAATAGAAAGATAGCCGTTTTACAACAAATAATTTTAAAAACTAATTTTAATTAAGCCTAAGATTCGTGTTTATTCACATTACGTGTTTATTCACACATATAAAGAAATTAGCAACAAAATTGTTTAACTATGTCTCAATCATTAGTCCGTATTTAAACTCTAACAACCAGCACTTTCTTCATTTACGCTAGTTTTACAAGCAAAACCAACACCACAAAGTACATGAATCCTGTAATTATGGAAGTTTAGCATTGTTTCGTATAACAGCAAAGCTCTAGTGTCCGTAAACATAAGTGTGCAGGCTTACCTGAGGAAGCTGCCTCTGTTCTTGAAAGGCAGAAACTTGTAAGGTCTTGTTAGTCTTCCGCATTGAAACTGTATTAAAATACAAAAAGATGCCACGCCTTCCCTGGCAAAATGCAGCAGCTGACGGGGAATGAAAAGTTGAAAAACTTGTTCTGTTTTGCTTTGCTTTGTCACACACCGAAAGTACGATAACACTCGTCAGTGGAGGATGTTTCCACAGGGAGGAGTCAGGAGTTACCTTAGAAACACTCACATGACCTCTTTGTAGGATATTCAAGCCTGTGAATGGTACCTGTGCCAGAACACCATTACATCATGGACCAACTGTGTCACAAAAATGCCTTGAGAGACAGAATCACATGCTTTATGAAATCAATATCAGGAAAACATTTAAAAAGAGAAAATATTCAGTCTATTCATACAATCATGACAGTATAAATTATTTATTATTGTTGCGGTCGTACATTTTGATGACCTCCAACACTTATACAACATAACCAAACAATTATTTTAGAAATAAACCTAAATTTTCAGAAAGGTCCTGTATCACAAAAATATGCTCTTATTTTAAACAGGACCAAAGTAAATTATTTAAAATTTAAGGGTGTTTCTTTTATTTAAATCTTTTAACTTATGTGATTGAATCATACCAGAATGGCAATGAGTCAGCAAGTCTAAACATAGGACTAAAACTGAATACACATTTCCTCAATCATTACCTTTATCAGTGATGCGTTTATGTTTTTCTATGCGATAAGAACAGAGATTATAAATGGAAAAACCTTAAAGTAAGCATTCTAAATCAGTGTTAATCAAAACAGATGTGATTTTTTTTAAATCAAACATAAAAAATATAAAACAAATGCAGGCCTGTTAAACACTTTTACTGTCTACATGTATAATTAAAATTAGTTTCACTATGTTGTAATTCTTTAAAACAGCATCAAAGAACAGACTAGAAGAAGAAAGCTTACACAGCCGTGCAAGCATGTTCTAATGCAGAACAATTTTATATTTAATATTACCGGACAAAGAGGAAAATCTCAAGACAGCGTTAATGAGTGACTGATCTGTTCACCACAATGATCATGTGAGAAGGGAATTCAGTGCTAACAATGTGCTTGGAGTTCCCTCTTTGCTGATACTGACCAAGCCCAAAGTACGCAAGTCAATACTTTCCAGTTCAGGTCATTGCTTAGTGGTTACAATTAAAATTTTAGAGCCTGTTTTGTGGTCTGACAAGTTCAAAGTCAGAGTTTATGGGTTCCACAACTGAGGTTTGAGATCCTGAAGGTACCAAAGTGTTTAAATTTTATTGTAGGCCTTTTTCTATCATTTACAAATCTTTTTTTCCTTCGAGGGTTACAGGAACCGATCTCTAGAAGTCATTGTGCGAGTGGCAGAGCAAAATATGTTGTCAAGCACAGCAGATATAGAAATCGAAAGAAATAGCTGCTAAGCATTAAATAATAAAACGATTGCAGCATTTTCCTCCATAAAAAAATAATTCTAACATTTAGCTGGAAAAGAGTAAATAATCTTATCTTGTGGGTATTTACAATACTCACAATTTACCAAAGAGACAAAATTTTGTCAGAATAAAGAATAGTTATATTACTTTGGCCTCTTGATGTGTTGGTCTCTCAAGTGATTCTTCTATATGAAATAAAAACCCTAAGATGTTCAATTTGCAAGCCAATAGTCACATCTCACATGATAAACATTCAGTTAAATGAGACAAAGGTATTTTATCAGATACAAGAAGAATCATCTGCAATTCACAAAACAATTTTATCTCAATACAATGTAATATAAATTATTTTGTAATGTGAAGTATTGAAATCAAATGGGGGGGGAAACACACTACTATGTAATTGACTGATTTATTTATTTTGAAGCCATGTAGTAATGAGCATAAAATCAGATGTTGACAACATAATGGGTCCAATTCTTCACTTAGCTAATATTCTACTTAGAGCATACAACTGTTTATCATAATATTTGTACAAATTTCCTATATCGCATCTTAAAAAAACAAAACACGTCATAGTTGTACACTTATTTTTGAGCATTTACATTTACACAATTTCCTTAACAGAAAACTAATGACCTCACTTTACAAAATGAAGTCCTGTGTCCTGTAAGAGACATGGAAATAAACTGAAACTCAGAAACTGAAGATAACAACCACTAGTGTGCGTGCTGCTTTAGTGTCATAAATTACCTTTAAAGGGGGTTTGTGCATGTAAAAGTGAGATGATTTGATTAAGTTAATAAGATCAGTTGCAATTTTGGAATAAGCATGAAGGCTGAGTGTTGATCTTGAAGATTTAGTCTGAGTCACTGCTGCTGCTGCTACTGCTGCTGCTACTGCTGCTTGAATGCTGTAAAGACAAAAAACATACATAATGAAACAATAAAACAATTTATATTGCCATGCTTTACAGATGTTTCAATCAAAGTTTATGCAATAAACTATTACATTTAGTACAAGACTGACAATATAAACAACTGGAGTCATGGGAGTCAGAATAACAAAAAAAAACAGCACAATTGCAGTTAAATTGGGGCATAACAAATTAATCAATAAAAATAATCAGCCATACTGGGTGAGGGCAGTGTATTCCTTAATGTCAAAAATTTAAGATGGTACTACTCACAATTTTTGTCTTTACATTGTGTATCAGATTATTATTTCTTAAAAAAAAACATTCATTTTAGTATGTTATTTGCTGACTAATTTCTGCTTCTGGTTTAAATTAGCATATTTTTGTTCAATGTTCCATTAAGTAATTTGTAAAGTTTGTTTTAATCAGATTATAATAAGATTTGCACAATGTTCTATTCTCTGACCTGGGTGACTACAACAATGTCAAGATGGTCATTAAAAAAAGGATCTTCAACAATTTTTTTTACAATGTTTTATGCACAATCACTTCCTGTTTGAACCAAGCCAAACCTCACCTTCCCATGTTTGTGGTGTCCATGCTTGTGTTCTTTCTTCATCTTCTTCATCTTTTTCATCTTCTTATGCTTTTTGTGTCCATGTCCTCCAACAACCATTCCAGGCCCAGGGTGTAACCCACCATGATGAGGATCCTTGTGATGGCCCCCTTTGGGAGAGTGGGGATATGGACCTGGATGAACACCTCCAGGAGCCATGGGATATGCATGGGGTCCAGGAGCCCCTGGAGGTGCAATGGGAACCATGGCTGGGTTCATGGGAGCTGGAAATTGGCCTGCAGGGTATGCAGGGTTCGGACCCTGGGGGAACATTCCTGATGCAGGAGCAGTGGGAAATGCAGGGTTGTAGCCTGGAGGGAAGGCAGGGTTTTGGGGACCCATTTGAGGAGGAGGACCTGATATGGAAAAGCAGCACAATTATGGACCTTAGAAAAGTGATCAGATATAACTGGCATCAAACTTGTCAAAAATGTTGTTATGGCTTGGTGTGAAATCCCACCTTGATTTGGCCACATAATCTGTGTATTAAGTTGCTTAGATGAAGAGTTTAGGTCTCAAAAAACCTCCTGCAAAAGATTTATATTGTTGAGTCTTTGACAATGCAATGATACAAAAGGTTAGAAATTGTCCACATTAACATTTTGTACAATAACTTATTTTAACCACAACTCTACGTTCTCTATACAACTATCCTAATCAAAAAAAGATGGTTGCTGAGAAGAAACTGATGGTAAACATGAAAATATATTCAAAATGAAAGTTTTCTAGAATGATTTTCCTAAACATACATTCACTGGCCACTTTTAACAATTATCCCTACTTCATTGTTTGTCTCTAGAAAGAGTGAATCAGTCAATCAGATTGTAACATATTAACTAAGAGGAAGTTGTGCTGTTAATAATCTCACAGTAAGGTCAGAGGACAATGAGCAGGCCACAGGTAACAGGTTTGGGAAAACAAGCTAGCAGCAGTCCTCATAATGCCTCGTTACCGCTCAGGTACACCAGCTCTAAATGCACAACACATCAAACTTTGATACACACAAGCTACACACCACCAAAAGACAAAATCTGGGTGTCACTCCTAAGAACTGGAAACTGGGACACATCAAAATTGGACAAAAACATATTGGAAAGATGCTGCCTGGTCCAATGAATGATGATTGTAGCTGCAACATTAAAATGGTGGAGTCAGAAGTTGAATTTGACAACAAGAAAGCATGAATCCATCCTGCCTTTTGTGGTGGCTTTGTGTTTGGTCTGGGAGATACTTTCTTGGCACATTTTGAATCCTTTGGGATCAACATTGTTTAAGTGACACATTTGGAATTCTATCTTGTAAACATGAACCAAAATCTCAGTCGAATGTTTGACACATTCTTGAATCACGCTATGAAGAATTAAGGTGGTTCAGAAAGTAAAAGGCTGTCCATTGTGTTAGCAAGGCATACCTAATAAACGGGCCAGTAAGTGTATTATACTTTTATTTATGAAGTGACCAGTTAAAAATAAATAAAAGGAATGATGATGACAAAAACTAAAGAAAATCTGAATATTTTTTTATCATTATTGTGATTTAACCTCTACCAGACTTCCAAGCACTACAGACCACAATGGGTGTTTCCTGTAAAGCATGGTTCTTAAGAGATAGCAACGAGTAAAACACACTGGCTGATTTCACCATTACAGTTGCTTTAATGTGGTTAAAAGGCTTACAATAAGAAACAGTTTACAAAAACATATTACCCTTCAAGCTGAATGCGGGGGTTAAAACACTCGAAACTGTTAAAACAACGTTAAACAACAAGTAATGAAATACAGGAAGACATTTGTCTATTTTGCAAGCAAGACACCCTAAAGTAATTTTAGCCTTCTAATTATTGTAGTTCATATGTACTTGATTTGATAGCCAAATATCATGTCTGTAAAAGATATTTTTACAGATAGGTTTACCTGAGGACCTTGTCTCTGTTCTTGAAAAGTTAGAAATAGGGAGGATTCTGTTTGTCTTCCGCATTGAGGCTGCCTATCTGCAGCAGGAAGCCACGCCCTCCCTTAAAGGATACGTACGTCGTGTACGCAATGGCAAAAATGCAGCTTGTAAAATAACACTGAAATATAGTGAGATGATTCAGCGGATATGAATTATACAAGCACAACTGCTTATTTTACCAGAAACCCATTACATCAAATGGAATCAAAAGGTACAATTATTAGAAGAAAAAAAACAACAAAAACACGTTCCCATAGTTTGAAAAAAAAAAAAAAAAAAAAAAAAAAAAAAAAAATATTTTTTAAACCATTATTTTATACGTTTTTTAAATTTTTTAAATTTATT